CATCAGCGGACCCGTTTCGAACCGGATCCCCTCCCCCCCCCCTGCTTCGAGCCGCCCCCTCCCCCCCGCTTCATGCCGCCGCCGCCTCGTACCCCCTCCCCATGCTGCATGCCTCGAGGGTCCTGCCTCATCGCGCTCGCCCCCTGCTTCATCACGCCTGCTCCTCCTCCTCCTCCGCTCCCGTGTTTTGCACCAACACCACTGTTGCCACCGCTGCCACCGCCGCCCATCTGCTTGGGAACTCCCACCGTCTCGCCTGGTCTTGGCCCTCCTTTCGAACCTCCTGGTGGTCGCTTCGCGCTTGGCTTCGGAGCAGCACCCGGCCTCGGAGAGCTCGGCTTCGGACCTCCGGGCTTCGGAGCGCTCGGCTTCGGACCTCCAGGCTTCGGAGAACCGAGTTTCGGCCCTCCGATCAGCTTCGGAGCACCCGGCTTCGGACCACTCAGCTTCGGAGCAGCACCCGGCTTCGGAGCAGCACCCGGCTTGGGAGCAGCACCCGGCTTCGGAGCAGCACCCGGCTTCGGAGCAGCACCCGGCTTCGGAGCAGCACCCGGCCTCGGAGCAGCACCCGGCCTCGGAGCAGCAGGCTTCGGAGCACCCGGCTTCGGACCGCCAGGCTTTGGGCCACCAGGTTTCGGGCCGCCAGGTTTCGGTCCTCCAATCAGCTTGGGGGCGCCGCTGCCCTCCGCCTTGTAGCTCCCCGAGAGCACCCCTCCTCCCCCTCCCCCTCCCGCCCTGACTCCGCCGCCCATAGCGTTCAAGTTGGCGGCAATTCGTATCGGGCCCGCGTTTGCGGCGGGTTTGGAGGAGGAGGCGGCGGAGGAGGCCGACGCGTTCGGGGCTGGCTTGGAGAAAGGCCCTCTGTCGGGGGCGGTGAGCATTCGGCTGTTGGGGGGAGGTCTGGTGATGGCAGGCGACGGTATCGGTGGTGGGGGCGGCCGCCGGACAAAGGAGCGGCCGTTCGCTTCCCATTCCTGTATGGTCAAGAGGGGGGGGGGGGGTGCGCGCGCGGCACGTTACTTTGGGTGGGCAGAAGTGATGGAAGAGTTGTGGGCGACAGGGGTCAACGGGCAAACGGAAGACGAGCACGTAGGCCTGCCAATGACTCCCTCTGCCCTCTAAACAGCGTAGTTTCCGCGAAACCTCAGCAAACCCACCACTGCCTCCCTCCCTCGCTCCCCCCTCCCTTCCATCGCACGTCAACTCTCTAAGCTTCAAAATACCGCATGCAGGGACATACTATTTAGTCCGCCCACCGCACCTGCCCCTTCGTCCCCAGCTCCTTCAAGAACAGCGTGTCCTTGGCATCCACCGAGTCTGAACACCCGTTGTTGTCGCCGTTCGCGCCGGGCCACGACCCCGGACCGTCTTCCCCGCCACCATCTAGCATACCCTCCGCGTTGTCCGGCTTCTTCTTGGTGCTCAGAGCGCCCATCCCCGCGATCGTAGCCGCAACCACCTGGGATAAGGCGTACGGTTGTGACACGGTGGGAGTGGGTGGACAAGAACGCGAGAAGAATTATCGCGTGGGTGCCGTCCTCACTGAAGCGAGCCGCGCTGGTGCAGCCCGGTAGGAACACAATCCTACAGATATGTGAGATATTTCAATCTTGCGGTGTTCTGCCGTTCCGCCAAGCCGAGCCACTCCCCTGTACACAGGCCACCCGTTCCGCAAAACATACCGCTGCAACTATTTACCACGAGAGTCTCGCCGTACCTCATGCTCCTCGACGATATCGCGCGTCTCAAACACCCCCGACGTGATCTGCGACACACGTCGCCCCACGGCGGCCAAGCTTGAAGTAGGACTGCGAAAAGACACAACGCCGGCATCGGTTGGAAAGCGATGTCGGGAGGCGGTCGATACAAGAGGCGACAACAGCATCTCTCTACTACAGTACTAGGTAAAGGTCGTCCTCACGATAGCTGGCTTATGAGGCGCGGTTTTCGGACCAGAGAAGGGAGGTGCAGTGCATTCTCATCGTGGCAAAGGCAGCATCAGCGGCAGAAGCAGGCCCAAAAGCTATTAATAGTCCATTCGTCTATTCCGTTGGCTCGATGGCTGGGTTACATGTAGAGAGAATTCAAGAAGCTGGTACAAAAGGCGCCACGGACTGAAGGGTGTATCTGAGACAATCTCGGCTGCTCGAAACTCCCTTGCTCCAGCTCCCGAGAATGTCCCATGGACCAACCCTCCAACATCGTCGCACCAGGAAGACAGCAGGTGTGTGTGTGGGGGGGGTGCGAAACACCCGTCCGAAGATACTGCAAGTGTCAAACAGAGTGTGGAACCAAGCTATCTGTAATAGCAGAGAGGCAGCATCGGAACAACCGGCACAAATTTCAAGAAACAGGTCAGGCAAGGCCTGGAGCTGCTCCAGCATCGATGCATACCTCGATTGCAGTGCACGAGCCACCAAGCACGTGAGAGCGAACGACTTTCTCGAGGGCTCGAAGACCGGGGCGTAGATCGGGTGCGGCGCTACGAAGTCCCACCAGCCTGACCCTGCCACCTTGTACCACGCATGGCCGCTGATGATCCACAGCACTGGGTGGTTGGTGTCGGAGTAGTCGATGCACCTGGTGTCAGCAGCAGCAGCCAGAAGAGGGCAAGCAAAAGGTCGATTGCGTTGGAGACGAACATCAACGTGGGCCGAGCCAGAGACCGGGGGTAATGCATCCTTTACGTGGGACGAAGAGGAACAAAAACAAAGGCAGCGACGATCATTTCTCTCCCACGACACCGGTTTCCCAGGCCACCATGCCACACAGGTCATAGGTACGGTATAGTTTTTCTCGAGCGTGTCGCGCCGGCCATCAACCTCTCTCCCGTCGTCTGTCGCGGTAAAACGCACGCTCACCAGTCATCGACGCAGTTGATCCGGATGCGCACCGTGCGTCGGGCCGGCACCAGCACGCAGCGCGTCAAGCTCTCCTTCCTAGCGGCGGTGGACGCGCTCTCGCCCTCTCGCTTCGCCGAGGACCGAGAGCCGCAGGGGGCCAGCCGGAACGACTCCCAGTCCATCCACTCGTCGAACTTGGACTTCCAGCCGTTGAAGTGCACCTTCACCTGCTTGCGCTCCTCGCTCACCTCGGCCACCTTAGCCCCGTACCACCGGAAGGTCTCCATGCAGAAGGCGTCAACCTTGAGGTGCTTCCTCATCACCGACCAGTCGAGGCTAGCCGCTCCGGCTGCCTTCGACTCGACCTCGAAAGGGTAGTCCCTCGGCGCCTTCTCGACGTAGTAGAGCAGCAGCCCGTCCTTCCTCCCCTTACGGAAGCATGACCCCACGAATTCGGCCGAAGGGATGCCGCGCCCTTCCGAGCCGTCCAGCCCCCCCGAGAACGTAGCCATCGAGAAGCTCGGCGGAGGCTTGGGCTTCTTCAAGGCCGGCCCGGCATCGTCCCTCCCGGCGTCGCCGTCCCCCCCGCCCCCCGCGCTGCCGCCACCGCTACCACCGCCGCCGCCGCCGCCGCCGCCGCCGCTGCCGTCGCCATCGCCGCCGCTCCCCGCCTTCCGCTTCTTGCTCCCCACGGCGGTTGCACCGGACGCAGCTACTACCCCCGCAGGCCGCCCATCTGCCGATCCCCCCCCTCCGACGGCAGTCGGAGCAGCCGAAGAAGATTGGAGCGCGCCAGGCCGGCCGACCATCGGCGGTCCCCCAAAGTCACCGTAGTGAGCACCGTTAGCACCCCCGCCCCCCCCCGCCCTAACATCCATGGGGTATTCACGGCCAACACCGGCGCTGCCCTGGTACGTCCCCTCGAAGGCGCCCACGCCGCCAAACTGCTGGTACTGCTGGTACTGCCGCAGCTGCTGCTGGTGGTGCGGGTACTGCTGCTGCAGCTGCTGCTGGTGCGGGTGGAGCTCCTGCTGGTGGTGCTGGTACTGCTGTTGTTGGTACTGATGGTGCCGCGGGTGCTGCGAGTGGTGGGGGTACTGCGGGAACTGCTGGTACTGCTGCTGCTGCTGCTGCTGCTGCTGCTGCTGCTGCTGCTGTAGGTGCTGATCCTGGTGGTACAAGTACTTCTCGGGAGAGTCTTGGTACCGCACGTTGCTCTTGCGAGCGCGCTTGCCGTCGGGCGGCGCCTGTGCGTCACACGTTCCAGACGACCCTACGGCGCCCCCCCCGCTCCTACTGTCGTACCCCCAACCCC